GTGGCCGAATCCGAACCATGAAATGGAAACTTCATGCGTCGATGCTTGGGCAAACTTCGCGAAGAACAAAGTAAATAGACGGGCAGAATTCGGAACGGAAAGCATGGGCGAGCAGACGAGCGGGCCGGTGACGCGGAATCGCACGGGCAAAATGAAACTTTTCGCGACGGAGAAAGGCTAGCGCTGTTCTAAGTTAATGTTATTTAAATATGAGAAACACGCGTGTGCCTCGGAGCAGGAGAGAGAAGGATTTTCTGGGATGCGCCGCTAAGGCTTGGTTTCAACTCGCAGTAGAATGAGTCTGCAATGCACAGACCGGTACTGATCGACCGTGTCGATGCTACTGAAATATTCGTTCAGTTGCAAATAAATCTGAACAACGATTGTTAAAAGATTGTTAAAGATTGATAAAAGTTTCCATCGACAATCGAGTCGCTCAGACAACGCAGTTAAATCTACAAAACAAACATCGAGAAAGAATGTCTTCCAATACATTAGCTTCTAAAATTGTTTATCGATTTGATGAGAGAACAATATAGTCTGTTTCCAAAAGGTACACTCTACAACAATGGAATATTACGTATTCCATCAACCTTTAACTACCCACGCTGGTGAAGCGACGCATGAAGCGAATAATAATGTAAAATCAATTTCATCAGTTCCTCTGTTTATTATCAATTCATGTATAGTTATATTCCTAACAAATAACATAATTCATCAGGATTTTTCTTGTCCCAATACAATAATATATATATACTTAATTAAACAGTGATCGAACAGGGTAGTTAAAGGTTAAAATCGACAGGAATCGGAAACCGTCGAAAAATCTAGTGAAAAATTAGCTTCCGACTAGACTGTAACCGAATAAGTCGACGAAACGCGCGTCTCGCGAGTGTCCCAGCGTCAAAGGGAGATTCTAATGGGGTAACCTGCCGGGGAAGGGGCGTGACGGTGTAATTCGAGCGTGAACGTGGACCGTCGCCGACGATTAAGGCGCCGCGGGACCGTTTAACAGCGCGCAACCATAAGGAGACTGAACGTCTTTCGCGGCTCATTAAGTCGCAACGCGTGCGACTAGCCGAGTTATCGCGGCGCGGGAAGATCGGCTGCGGGGGCGGCGCGTCGTGAATCGTTCCGTGGAACGCGCGGCGCGGCGCGGCGCGTCTAATCCGAGGGAACAGGCTCGCTTCAATTCGAAACACGTGCCCGGCCGACGAGCGAACGCTTCCACGGAGCCTGCGCCTCCGAAATTCACGAATGAATGCCGGTGTCCGCTAATTTCGCCGAACACTGCTGGAATTAACTCGTTAACCGTGAACGCTCGGCCGTCGTTTGCATGCGAATACGGCGAGCAGGGAATTTTTCTCTCTTTCGCAGGCTCGACCGAGGCGGATCGGATGGAAATAAGAAGTTAGTCGACGTTTCTCGGTTTTTGCTGAGAATGATCTATTGGGGGATTCAGGGATTTATTCGGAAGGTTCTTTTTTAGTTTTTAGACAAACGGCTGAGTGGTTGTGGTTCTTCGATGTCGAATGAGTCGGAAGCTAATGCGGTTAAGCTCGGAGAAACATTGAGGAAATTGATGTTTTGGCTTCTGAAATTATTATGGATCTTCAGAAGTTAGAGAAAGAAGGGCTGTCTGACTTAGACAGAACGACGAATCGAGTAAATCTTTAGTAACTAAGAAGAATATTATTTATTCCATTAAAATGTAGGAAAATCGACTTAACCGCATTGGCTTCTGAGCGATTATAAGAGGATTTACGTAATCGAACGATCCAGCGGGTATGCTTAAAGTCCGAAGTTCATTTTTTAAATTTCCATGCTGCCAATTACCATTCGCACTTTTTGCGGTTCTTTTTGCGACTGCTCGAATTACATATACAAAGAGCAAATTATTATTCCTATTCTGACTATGTAAATGCTGCTAATTAGAATGAGAAATGAAATCTATACGCGCTTGATTCATATGAACGTTCTCGGATCTTGCCTCTATTACAGCTAAATTCTCATTAAAAATTGATGAGATACTGCAAAACAAAGCCACTCGAACGTACCTTCGCAACACGAAGACTGAATCAAATGAAATCAATAACATTCGAAACTACCGTGACAACCTCCGTAAAGTATCAAGTACGCACTATCTATCCATACGTCAACAAACGTTGACCAACTACGATATCAAACGTTCCTCCAATCCAAGTAATGCATATACAACCACAAAACCAGAAACCTCGACAAATCCCACTATCCAGCTACACTTCATCAGACACGGTAACTAAAAACTTGAATCCCCTATCGATCCCCGATCGAAGAAGCAAAGGGAGCCAACGACGGCGCGGATCAGACGGGAGCAGGGCGAGGGGAAAGAAACGTCGGAAAAAACAAGCTTGAAAAGACTCGGCTGTATCGAGCGTAGGACGGGACGGAAAGAGAAAGGACGAGGAAAAAGTGGCGCTTACCTTCATGTTAGCAGGTCGTGTCGAGCAGGAAAGCGAAGTTAAGCGTGACTGATGCCGACTCCGCCGGCGATCAACTGTTTTATACCCGGCCGTTTGCCCAGCCTCCGAATTCGTCAGATCGGTACACGTTTCTCTTTCTCGCGGCTGTCTCCTTCTCTCTTTGTCTCTCTCTCTCTTTGTCTTTCTCGCTCGATCTGGCTGTCTCCGTCTTTTTCTCCGGCTCCCCGTTCGACGTCGGAGCAGCGGTAGGAAGCCGAGGAAGGGGCACGCCGCGGAACGAAAGGTAAACGCAGTCCTTGCCTTCCGAGAATTACGATGACACGTGCGACTGTTAACAGACAACATGACGCGCGTCCACTCTTCTTCTCTTCGGCCCGGCCACCGCCGTCGGTCCTCCTTTTCTGGAATTAATCCCCGATCGCGGACGTTCGGCGAACGCCGCTCGCGATGGACCGCTAAAGGAATAAATCGCTGCTTATCCGCGTGACCCGCCATTTATCTTGACAGCCAGGGCCGCGCCGCGCTCTGGACACTTCGCGCGAAGTGTCCGGGCACCGTTCGAGGAATTTCAGAACGAGAATTGGATGTTATCTCGGATTCATCCCTTGTTCCGCGGTGTCGAGCGCGCTCGGGGGACTTCGGATCGATGCCTCGGAGAGGATATTTCGACGGCGATCGAGCGGATCTGGGGTTTTCGAGTTGTTCAGCTTGCTTATTCGGTACCTCTAATGATGTTGCTTCGGGAAATGATCGATTATTGAGAAAGGGTTGAGAGCTTGCTCGTGAAATGGTAAGGCGAGGGATTAAAGTGCGGATTTGGAAAGGTGTTTCGTCGATAGGTACGACGATCGAGTGGAGATTTATAGGTTCTCCGTGGATCGATGCAAATTTCATGTAGAATATAATGGATTCGGGAAGATAATACTATCGATTGGACGGAATGACACTCTGAAAGAGTTAATGCGCCCCGGCCGACGACAAATGTCCAGGCAACATCGCCAGAAATTTTGCTAATGGACTCCAGACTTTTTGCTCCAGCTAGCAGGCTTTGTGGGGCCTGGTTTAGTGTACCGATTCGACCTATTGTGTTCTCCCTTTCTGGGAGACGCGTGGAAGGTATCTGTTATCTGGTTTAGACGCGGCCGACCTTCGGCTGGACGCCGCTTCTTGTGTAACGTCCTCCGTTTTGGCCCATCGTTTGCTCAATCCCTTTCGATGGGACTTTCTTCGAACAGTTTCTTTCGGCCGCGGCGGCAATAACAAGTCGCCGTCATTTCCAACTACAACAGCGCAAAAACAAAGGAATATTCTCTGCGGAATAATTCCACCGCATAACACAATTAACAGGCGTTGTACTTGGTTGGCGTCAACAAGCGAACTCGTTAAACGTGTTCCATTAAGTTTGTTGATGTCGGGAACGATATCGATTCGAATTCACCGGTATTATAGGAATTATAATCGATGCCGTAGTACACGAGTGTATTTCTACATGTATACGACGAACGTTTAGAGCTCCGCTTTCTATGCAAAGCAGCAAAGAACGCTCTCACTTCCTGTAAACGACGATATTCCGTTGCAGGATGGAATCCAGTAATTTCGCGGGACCTAAAGGAAGCGACGCTAAACCGCGGGGTACAGGACTCGGCGATTAAAAACATTGCGAGCCCAATAACGCGTGAAACGGCCTCCCGTGAATGGAATATTACGCGAGAGTGTAGCGAGATGATTAAGTGGACCACTTCGTGAGGTCGACTTCTTCAGGGACGGGGAACGCGCACGCGGAGCGCATACTGTCCAGGGAAAAATTCCCTATTCCGCGATTTTATCGTATCAACGACTAAGGACAGTGCTTCGCGACACGGCTGCTCGAAGGATAACAGCCAGTGCCTCGAAAAACTCCAGTTTCAGGAACGTTTCGTTGTTCGAAAGTTTCGCTACACTACTGTCGCCTTTGTCCCTCGGAAATGGCTTCTGAGTGACTCTCGTATATTTTAATGATTACAACAATGACAGAGTACAATTAAGATTCGAATTTTTGGAGGAAGAATTGTTTCAGTTTTCTTGTTTCGACAATGATTTCGAAGGTTCCATTCAATGGAGTACTATAATAAATATCCGAGAATATTTTTCAGTCGAACACAGTCTATTGTTACAATTTTTATAGGAGTTACGTATCAATCTTATTACCCCGTTCCAGTGTTAAGCAACGAACCGCGAAACAATGCAATTTTTACGTGCATTGTCCGCAGAATTTGTGAAAAATCTATCGAGCCCAGGAATTTCGTTCCCTTAGCGCAGTACCAAGAAACAGAATTAATTCATGGGAACTGGACAAGAGGAGATTGCTAGCGAGGTATGCGGAGGAACGTTTCAAAGATGTTACCGTCGAAAACATCCGTTCTTATTTTAGGAACGCACGTAAATGGGAAACGCGGTGTTTGTCGGAGTTTTTGCTCGACGGATCGTACGACAGAGCCCTTTCCTGGAAGCAGGCATCATGAAATAGACGATAAACTTGTATGCCCGCCGCTAAACAAGTGACTTATTAGCATTATTGTAAGCCGTTAATTGGCCGCGCAAGCGAGACTGTCCGGTATCGAATGCAGACGTCTGTATAATTATTATTAATTACGGCGGCGCGGGCACGGGCAAAAAGTCCCAGAAAAACCGCGCGTCCGACGTGTCGACATCGTGCTTGCAAATACTGTTTGCCCCGATCATTCGAACATAAAATGCTAATCCGTGGTACTCGAAATTTCAACAGACACGCCGGTGCTATTTGCTTATCCCGCGGTTTCGTCACTCGACACACGGCACCGTGGGTAATATACACTATTGTGCAAATCGATCATCGGGGAGACGCGGAACCGAATTAAAGAATTTTTTCCGTGTGGATGTCAACCGACGAAAATTCTAAATTTAGATTTCAAGGATCTCCCAGCATCGTTCGTTGAATCTTGGTACCTCGAACATATTTTCTTTGCACCTCGTCACTTTCGGATAAAACTTTGATTAATAGGGAATAACGTTAATAATGTTCGTCTACCAATTACGCTGAAGGGAGAAATAAGATTGAAAAGCGTCCAGTTAGATGAAAATTTCGTGAAAATTTGAATTCTCGAGTCTACTTGGCTGATCACAGAGACTTACGAGCACGTTTGTAACTGGATTATTTACTGAAAAGTTTTTCTAGCGAGCTGATATCTCTACGTGACGTAACGAGACGCGAGAAAGATCGGGCTCGTTAATGGACGCGCTGACGAACCGTTTCCCTTAGCAATTTCGTAACGGAAACTCTCTGGAAAAGTCCATAATTCTTTCTTCAAAGAAGTCCCGACCCACGTACTTAGGCGCGTACATCTGACGTTCGGCCATCTTTCACGGCGAGTGTTAGCGCTGGACCAATGTTTGCTCGGTTGTTCCCGGACGCGCGGCGCGACGGTTGCATCACGGCCGGATAATAACAAAAAAGGGAATTATGCCGCGCGCATCGAGTTATCGAAGCGCGACTTGAATTAGAAGAACGATTTGTCTCCTGACTTGCACCTGACGAGTCCTTTGTATCTCGATCTCTTCGTTTCTGAACCTGTTCGCTCGTTTTTTAGTTCGACATCGTTACGGAATTATTAAATGCACGATTACCGAGTAAACTATTAAATGAATTGGATTATTAGTTGATTTTCCAAATATAAACACTCGTGAAAGGTTAAATTAATGCAGCGAACTATATATATTGATAGAAATAATTTCGTGAAACTAGTGATTGTTTCCATAGCTAATAATTATATAGGTAACAGTTGGATGAAATTAAGAATGAACTTGAATAACTGGATATTTCCTGTTAATTGGTTAATATTGCTTCGTTGGTCGTTAAATATCGCAGTGTGTGCGTTTAGCAACTCTACTGTGGACTTTATGAGTTTATAATATTGTCGGAGAGTGACACGTTAATTTGAAACGCTCCTAGATTATTATTTTAATGAAAACTATAGTAAAGGGGAACGTATACTCGCGTAAAACTTCGCAATCTATCGGTGACATTTCCATTTTGCTTTCAGTGGAATGAAATCCTTAACGAAGAATACCAATTTTCATTTAATTTTACATTCTCCGGATTGATTCACTAAATATTCACGTATTAAAATGGTCCAGTGATTTCCATTATTATTCCTACTCTTCCTTGAAAGCTCTAGCTTTCCTCTAAGAAGGATGATTTCCCCTTTAAAAACGGAGGATAAGTTGGAGCAATGGAACATTCTAATCTTATTGAATCTCCCACCAGTAATACCGTCGAAAAACAAATCCAGCAATTTTTCCCTACACCTTGAATCATTTAATATTCATAAAACAACGATGAATCGGAACAATCTCTTGAACGTCGAATCTTCTCAAGTTTGAAACGTCGATAGTATAATTTGAAGTAAATATATTAACTCTTTGCTAACGAACTTCGAGATTCCGACGAATGTTAAGTCGCGAACAAATGATTTAATTACTGAAACAGCAAGAGATGCTTAGTTTCCTTTTTTATTATTTAAGCAATCATAATTCAGGTTCATCTGCTGAAGCTTCTATATATTTCAAAGGAACTTCTCTCGCAAAGGGTTGAAAACCTCCGGAGATCTTTGCACAAGAAAATCCTATTACAAAGATCGTTAATTCTCACATGATCAAGCCCGCAAAAATGATACGAATTAAAAATGCTGGAACGCTGGTGGGTGGAGTGTAATGAGGGCGAGCCGCAAACAGGCAATTTCGTCCGTCTTCGGAAGTTGAATTCCGGAATTCAGCGGCGAGTAAAAATGAGGCAGCATTTCGGAGATAATGGAACAGCCCCGGAAAGATTGATAATATGAGCGATTTGATGAAGAATCCTATTACGAGCGTCCCACAAAGGGACTCGAATTTGCATTCCGCCCTGATATTCCCCGAATCAGCTGTTCCTCCGAGCTCGTTAGCCGAATTTCGGTGTGACGGCGGCACGCGAAAATAATATTTGACCGACGCGCCGGGTTAAAGGCCGCTTCGTACTTCGTTAAACCCTGCAGAAGAATCACGCTCGCGAAAAAACGGTGCCGGCGCCGGGGAACTTGTGAAAATCCTGCTAGTGACAAACGTTTATTGACGGGATTGCGAGCGGGATCCCGGGTTATACATGGCGGCTGG